TCTTCCTTATTCACTGTCCAACTTTCGCATGCATATGAGGTTATTGAAAATACCATGGCTTGGGTCAGGTGCACCTTAGTCCTCAAGCTGACATCCTTGCTCTTCACAACTGAAAATGCATCAAGCAAAATATCAGTTCTTTACTTCACATAGACTCAGATGTTTCCATATATTGACAAGGAGGGAGTGAATATTTGGAACTGACAAGTATTTGTGAAGAACAAGCACTGGACTGCTACCTCCAAACCCACCAGCTGCTCCTCAGAAACCCTGCACAGGGTCACTGTATGTCAGAACCAACTTGAGAGCACTTAATAACAACTAGTGTTTAATGATTTGCAAAGCTATTTAATAGCACAAAAGAGGAGAAAAGCATTATAATTTCTACTCATCTAAGGAGCTCTGGTAGCATAGTGGTTGCAAATCAGGCTGCTAACCTCAAGGTCGGCAGTTTGAAACTATCAGCCGTTCTGCGTGAGAAAGATGAGGCTTTCTGCTCCTATAAGGATTTTTAGCCTCAGAAACCCTGTGCAGGGTCACTATAAGTTGGAATTGATTCCATGGTACTTAACAACAACAACAACAAGTACAGTCTGGCTCAACCCACTGCCGCCAGGTTGCTTCTGACTCATAGCAACACTATAGGACAGAGTAGAACTGCTCCCTGGGTTTTGAGGGCTGGAAATCTACATGTAAGTGGACTACCTCATCTTTCTGGTGGGTTTAAACCATCGACCTTTTAGTTAGCAGCCGAATGCATAACCCTCTGCACTACCAGGACTCCTTATCCGGTTTATAGCATCCCAGAATTCACTAGGGTACATCTCAGTTTATGAGACTACTAGAATGAAGTCAAGCTTACTGCTCTGATTTTTAGTTTCCAAATATGGCTCTCATGACTGTTTCCAGGTTAATATTTTTACTGCTATTTCCATAGATTGCAAAGTTGGGAAATCTTCTAGAGTCAAAAGAAGACCACTGCAACAGACTCATTGAAGAAAATGACAAGTATCAAAGACATCTAGGCAGCTTAATAAATAAGGTACAAATTTTCTCAAAAAAATTTTGTCATTTAAGAAGTATACCAAATATTGAAGTACTAGAACTAGAACTAAAACGACCTGAGGGATAATGTAGCACATTAATGTTGATCCCGTTTACTTCATGATGACATATAAAATGTTGCCATTAGCCTTACAGTTGAATCCTTGCAATGAACATTAGATATGCCTCTATATTCTGCAATAAATTAAAAGTGTTACTATTGCTACCTAACTTTCAGGATAATTGCAGATCTTGCCATCTTAGTATTCTAGTTTACTTTGTAAAAAAAACTATTAATTTTAAATAATAGATTCATTCATTTCTTCTTAATATTAAAATAGCATTTTTATAAGTATTACATTTTTGTATGTGGAAAAAGTCTGGATTCTATGTTGCCTCACTAAAGTCATCTATATTAGACAACTAAATGAACAAGCACATTATTGTTCTATTTTCGCTCATATTCCTGACCTCAAAATAAAAGTAAAATATTTTGTTTTCTGTAAAACTTTCATTCATGAGAGTCATAAGATTGAATTTTTACTTGTAGAGAATTTTTTTAGATAGAAAAAAGTAAGCAATATTAAAGAAAACCTCTAGACTTTCTTTATGTGAGAATCGTTTGTTTAGCTTATTTTCCCCCAAGGTTACATCATATGAAGAAATTATTGAATGTGCTGACCAAAGACTTGAGATCTCCCACTCCCAGATTGCGCAGTAAGTTGAAAAAGCTCAAAATAATCTTTAATTTTAAAAACTTGTATTAATATTTTATTTCACTCATTAGCTTTCTAAACTCATTTCCATCACCCTTTTAAGCAAGGTTGAAACTAATGAAAATGGTTTTATGGACTGAATCTTAACCAGTGACAAGTCTTGGATTTACCAGTATAATCCAGAAAGCAAGATTAGTCAAAAAATGCTTTCCAAGGGAATCTGCTGGACCAGTTAGATTCAAGGCAGAGAGATCAACTCAGAAGACTATGGTGACTGTTTTAGATTACAAAGGAGTGTTCGTCACCATTCACCTATCAGTTTGTCATACCATAGTGATGCTGGAAGCTATGCCACTAGCATTTTAAATACCATCAGGGTCATCCATGGTGGACAGGTTGCAGTGGAGATTTCAGACTAAGACAGACCTGGAAGAAGGATACGGGGACCATTTCTGAATGGCTAGCTGCTGAAAACATTGTGAATAGTAGTGAAACATTTTCAGACATAGTGCCAGAAGATAAGTCCTTCAGGTTGGAAGGCACTGAAAATATAACTGGTGAAGACCTGCCTCCTCACAGTTGTTAGTGGTGATGTTAAGTATCATCAAGTCTGTTCTAATTCATAGTAACCCTGTATAGGATTTCCAAGGTGAGTTTGAACTGCTGGCCTCACAGTTAGCGGACATTGTCAAAAAAGAACATTTTAGGATCTATCTTGAAGTACAACGCTGTTTTAGGGACAAGAGCTGAACACTCCCTCCAAAATGATCACACTAATGTCACCCCAAGAAAAGTGCTTTTATCGCTTTTCCCTCCTTGTCCTTCTCCTCTCCAGCACATATCCCTGACTTTGCACACCGGAACTCTACGTTACCACAGAACGGACACTTATCAACTAAGGAATAGCAAGCTGCTGGAGCTGGGTTGGTTTTCTGTTTTGTCACAAGTCTCAGCTGGACATCGATTCTCCTTATACAGCTCCCTCCCTCTCTGCCTAGAATGAGACTTGTTTATCATCTAGTACATAAAAAGCTCTGTAAGCCCCCTCAGGTGCAGAAACTCAATGTTTCTGTGGGCCACCACTGGAAACGGTGCTGTCACATCCTGGTCAGCATTTTCCCTGTTGGTACACCAGCTCTTTTATTTCCTATTCTATAATAAACTAATGTCTCTCATATTTGTTCCTGGTTTTTTTTTTTTTTTTTTGGTCTCTTGTCACCTGTGTACACAGAAGGCTTTTCCCTTCTGAGCCTAAACTCCAACAGATGTCTATGATAGGATAATATCCATATGCCTCCAAGGAAAACCAGTTAATACCACTATCATTCAAATTTACAAATCAACCACTAAAGCCACTGATGATGAAATTGATGAATTTCATTCTGAAATTGATCAAACATGCAATACAGATGCTTTTATAATGATTAGTGATTGAAATGTAAAAGTTGTAAACAAAGAAAAAGGACCTACAGTTGGAAAATATGGTCTTGGTAATAGAAATGATGCTGGAGAATGCATGATAGATTTTTGCAAGACCAATAACTTAATCAGTGAAAATACCTTTTAAAAACAACTTTAAAAGTGACTATAAACATTGTTGTTGTTAAGTGCCATCAAGTCAGTTCTAAGTCATAGTGACTTTGTATGGAGTTTCCAAGGACCAACTTGAAATGTTGACCTTATGGTTCAATTTGACTTTGCAGTCCACTGTATTAACCCATGGATCTCACCATATGGAATACACAGTAATCAAATTGACTACATCTGTGGGAAGAGACAATTTGGCTCAATATCATCAGCCAAAATAAAGCCAGGGGCAGACTATGGAATCGAAAACATCAATTGCTTATATGCAAGTTCAGGTTGAAGCAGAAGAAAATTAAAACACGTCCATGAGAGCCAAAATATGACCTTGAGTCGCACTGAAGGATGAGCAAGGACTGCTAACCAAATACTCGGAGATTCAGTGTGCTCCTTGGAAACCATATACAGGGTTGCTATGAGTCAGAACCACTTCAATGGCACTAAACAACAACAAATATCCCATGTGAATTTAGAGACCATCTCAAGAACAGATTTGATGCATTGGATACTAATGACCAGAAGAATGTGGTATGATATCAAGAATATCATGCAGGGAGGGAGAACAAAAAAGATGGCGGATCGGGTGGAAGTGCAGTGAGGAGTTCCATCAGCAACTACATGGAATACCGGACCAAGCAGGCTCGGGATGGTGCCAGAACTCTGAACCACATATAAAGGAATATTTAGAAGGTTGGGAGGCTTACAGCTAGGGGAATTTGTAGCAGAAGCAAGAAATCCATTGCCTTCTAATTTAAGATGCTCAGGTGCTCCCAGAGCCACCATCTTGGGACAGACCAAGCAGGGCAAGGATCAGAGCAGCCACAGACACCTGACTGAACCACGGAGATAAAGGTATGGACACTCTTTTTCTTTTTTGTATCTGTTCATTGGTCTCTTGCTGTCTCCGTACCTCCATTCTGGTGACTAGAGGGGGTGCCTGAGCAAGTGTACACCCCACCCCCACTGCCAGAGGGTTCTACTACACATGTGCACAGATCTCCTAGAAATTTAAAGTGACAATTTCCACTTAAAATCGGCAGTGCAAAATGACCCCAGCCGGCCCTGAACTGTTTATCATTATGAAAATCATCACAAATCTGTTTATCATTATGAAAACTGTTTATCAACAGGGACGGTGGAGTGGGACAGGCAGACTAAAAAGGAAACAGGCTGAAAATTAAATCCTGAGTTACATTACAACAACCAACAGTGGCATCTTGAAATTTCTCAGGAAGAAGAGTGAAAAGGGAAGCCCATCTGGTGATCACATCTACCTGGAGGCAATCATAAAGCATAAAAAATGCCAAAATACACACCCATCTAAGTCTTAAGGTCACAGATAACTCCTGAATATGCCCAAAAAAACAGAAACAGATGACCATATCAGCACATGTCCAGAAATGAGATAAAGTGACTGAGGCAAATGAACTTGAAGTAGACCTACACTCCATACTGGAAGATGGGCAGGCTTAGGAAATGCCTGAGAAGGAATTCAGAAAAATGATTATAAAATATATCAAAACAGTATATAATGGAGTTGAAAAAAATAAGAAGTCAGGAACAATCAAATAAGATAGATACAGCATTGGAAATTATTCAAAACCTGTTCAAATGATTAATAATAGAAAAACAGAAATAGACAATACACTGAAAGGGCAAAAGAGTGGAATTGAAGACATGGAAGGCAGGACTAGGGCAGATAAATCTCTCAACACCACTAAGAGAAGAGCAAGCAGAAAAAATCCAAAGGTCTAAGATTCATGTTGTCCAACATGAAGAGGAATAACTTAAGAATTATTGGCATTCTTAAGCAGGAAGAATCACACAAGTTCACAGAGAAGATAGTTGAGGAGCTGCAGGAAGAAAATTTCTCTAACATTCTGAAAAGTGACAAGATAAACATTCAAGAAGCTCAATAAACTCCAAGAAGAACAGACCCCAAAAGACAATCACCGAGACATATCGTAATCAGGCTCTCCAAAATCAAAGATAAGGAGACAATCCTGAAAGCAGCTAGAGAAAAGAGAAGCGTTACATACATACAAGTCAGATTAAGCTCCAATGTCTCAGCAGAAACCATGCAGGCAAGAAGGCAATGGAGAGATATGTGTAAAACCCTGAAAGAAAAACAATTGCCAAATAAGAATCCTCAACCCAGCAAAGCTTTCAATCAAATACGACAGTGTAATCAAAACATTCCAGGATAAACAGAAGCTAAGGGTTTTTGCCAAAGCCAACCCTGCTATGAAAAACATCCTAAAGAAAGTTCTGTGGACCGAGAACCAACAAGAACAGACAACAACCAGAGAATGATGAACATGGCAGCATCACCCTGAACTCAAGTCAACAAATGAAAGAGTCAAGAACAGAATAAAATTATAAGAATAGATGATCTGGGAGGTCAGTCTATGATCAAAACAATTATAATGTGAAAGAAAATAAATACAGAGAAACAGAGACCCAGGTTGTGAGAAGGTCAGGTAGATTACAGGATAAAATAGACTGTCATAAATGGAGGGAAGAGTTAATGGAATATAAAGTAACCACAACAGTGGGATTGGGATGAGGGGTTTAGTTCGGGTGTTGGGGAGGGCAGTACAAGCAGAGGGAGGAGGCGGAAGATCAAGATAAATAGGGGCCACTGAGACGGGTTTGCACAGCCTAAGTGGGACAGAGGTAGATAGTGATGAATGCTCAATCTTGGAACAGCTGGGCTCTGTGATACAGGAATCTAGGCATAGTTTGAAGAGGGGAAATAATACTAAAATGCTTGACTGTATTATGAATATTGGTTTCCCTTACCTACTAGTGTAATATAGACACTTCAGTGGAATAAAAGGAATGTTGGAAACATGATTACAGAAAATTTGTAAACCGTCTTCAGCCTATAACTGCTTGGAATACCTAAAAGGGGTTCTAGAACTTGCACAATGAAATAGGCCTCTTGCAAAGCCTTTGCAGAGTGTAGCACCTTAGGTGGAATCCTGAGTCCCATCCAGAACTTTATGAGGTGAGGCATTCCCACTAGGAAGGACAAGCAGACCAGTCTGGAACAGTAGAGCAACAGAAGATACATCTTCAAAGAGAGATCATCAGGAAAAAAAAACAAAACAAAAATGTCAGCATGACTGGCTACTACAAGAATAAGCAAGCTGTTCACCAGGAAGCCATCAAGGCAAGCAATCAAGTTCCTTCAGGGAAAACTCCCCTTTAAGACTGAAATGCAAAGGGAACACATGAGCAGGCATGTAAGCTTGCTGGTGACCACATTGGTCTACTGGTGAGTGGAACAGAGGGAAAGGCAGCAATGAAGAAATGGGCTGAGTTCAACCACAGTCCATTGACTCCCGTTGACCTGGAGATGAAAGAAGAGGAAGGGCTTGTTGATTGAAAGTGTGGTGAGACTTGAGCCAATGG